ATCTATATTATATAAACCGTGAGTAGACATCGTTGTCATGAACTGTTAACCACTTAAGTGAGTTTTTCAAGCCGATTTTGTTCCGCACGAATTTCGGGCGGAAACTGCATCAAAGAAATAGTGCTTCGGAAATGAGAGGTCGCAGTTGGCAAAATCATATCCGATTGAAAAAAGGCCGACCAGCGGCCTCTCATGTTATGGGAGTAACGTTTTCCCTGACATGTTTCTTTGTCACGTGACCCTTACATGCAGTGTCCCATTGCATATGTGTCGTTCTGCCACGTGTGTTTTTGTCACGTGGCACTTTAAGATGATAGGACACATTACACGTGTAATACTAGTACTTGTATCAGTAATCGCACAGATGGCATTGTACATTTGTAACGTGACATTATAGATGCTGGGTTCAGCTACACGTATTCGACCGGTGTGTGTAATTTCGTGACACGACACGTAAGCTGACGCGTTTCTATGTATATATGTAACAATGTCACGTGACAACCTGGATGCTGCGTCATATATTGCACGTGCTAGTCACAAATACTGATTTCCGAATGCTTAAAATATGTGCAAACCACACCAAACGTAATTAAGTTCGATTACTAGTAGTTCATTGAGATTCTAGCTTAGGTGAAATGAACAAACAAGTCTCCTGTTACGATCTAAGTGTATTAAGCATGTCTGATAACTAATAAAAAAAATTCGTTATTAGTTAATTACTCGCCGTGAGAGTAATACACCTCTATTATGACGATTTAAACTTATCTTATACAAGATCATATTATTAATTGGATTTCCTTTATTACTTCGAATTAATTAGTTTATATGGTATACATGCACCGGGTCTTAACGTTGAGTGGAATGTATACTGTTTGATATCATTGTGCTTAAACAGCTGTGCAATGGGCACCTGATGTCGGTTGAGAACGCAGACAGTTTCGGTTTGTTGCATTACGAGTGTTGATATCCAGTTTAAACGTTTACTCGAACAAAAAACAAGTAAATGGGCTTAGAAACTCGTCCCTGGCCCCAGACCCAAGAACGTTCCTTAATGTAGTTGGTTTCCTTTCAAGCATTATTGCCACCAATTATTCGGGTAAAAAAAAAGTTTTCTGAATTTAAGTTATGCTTTCGCAATTAAAAAGTATATTTAAAAAGGAATTAATTTCCTTACGTGCAGGACTTTCGTAAACATACAAATTCAGATTTCATATTTTATATGAGGTTATCCAAGTCGGCTTTGATGTCAAAGACAGTGCCAAACTAGCTCCGCTTTGATGTCAGAGACAGGGCCAAACTAGCTCCGCTTTGGTGTCAGAGACAGTGCCAAACTAGCTCCGCTTTGGTGTCAGAGACAGTGACAAACTAGCTCCGCTTTGGTGTCAAAGACAGTGCCAAACTAGCTCAGCTTTGGTGTCAGAGTCGGTGCCAAACTAGCTCCGCTTTGATGTCAAAGACAGTGCCAAACTAGCTCCGCTTTGGTGTCAGAGACAGTGCCAAACTAGCTCCGCTTTGGTGTCAGAGACAGTGCCAAACTATCTCCGCTTTGGTGTCAGAGACAGTGCCAAACTAGCTCCGCTTTGGTGTCAGAGACAGTGCCAAACTAGCTCCGCTTTGGTGTCAGAGACAGTGCCAAACTAGCTCCGCGTTGGTGTCAGAGACAGTGCCAAACTAGTTCCGCTTTAATGTATTTTGGAGTCGGGTTGGGTATTTGGTTTGCTTTATTCTGTTCTGTTGTTCCGAATCGACCAGACTGAACACTTTGACCCTAGATCTCTGTTACTGACGTCATTAATCGGGAAGGTTTGTTAACTTCGATGAAATAGTGCACGAGAGAGCATGTCCCTCCGAGGACATCGTGTTAGTTCTATTTACCTGTACGACGCTAGTCTTTCTCTTTCTCCTCGACCAACACAAACTAACCCTAATTATGTCTCCATCAAACACATCTAGTGTTTACAAAGAAAATACATGATTAGATATCAGCTTTGTCAACTTAAAGATTCAAACAAGATTTTATAAATACATGTTTTTCGACTATCTTTGACAACTTCGGTATGTTGCTGTTTCGAAACCTACGCAAAGACTAACAATATAGAGCGATATTGTTTACAGGGCGCCGTTTTCTAGTGTCATCGGGACAGATGTTGTTTCTCGGTAAACATATCTTTATACTTATGATATTTATAAAATCGACCTAGCCAACGCTATTCATGGCGACTTTCTTTCAACAACACCTACAGCTCGTATTATTTCACAAATATGAATTCGTTTTGTATAATACAAACATTGTGAGGCGATAGATGCCGTGAAATATGAAATTCAGATATTATACTTTTATTTATTCATGTTTGACAAGAGAAAGAATACCAACACCCATAATAGGTTACCTCCGGACGGTGTATATATTCAGAGAGACCTGCAGGTGGGAAAGGACTGCAATACAAATCCTGTCTGAATTGAATAGATTTTCGATCTTAAGTCAGCTATGTTTATACAAAGCCTACTTATTTCAGATTGAAAGTTGTATATTTATATTCCATGTCGAGGGCTAATGTGGTTAATAGTGCCACGCTCTGTGGTAAATACCTCAACTAGACAGTTTAAGTACCCGAAACTAACGGCGTTATTAGTTTACTGGTACGACATTTCAACTCCCCCTCAAACAAATAGCAAGGATGGCAGTCACACTTACAGTCGTTCATCAGGCGAACATTTGGACCCAAAAACGTATTCTATTTTGGGTTTTTTAGTTTGATTAATATGAAAATATCAATAGTTTACCTAAAACTATTGTCAGGGTCACAAAGCTGTAAATAAACTAGACCATTCCTTTATATAGTACCTACACTTATACCTAATAAACCTGAAGAGTCATGTGAAGGGTGAAAGCAGCTTGTTTTTTAGTCGGTCGTTTGTATTATATATACATATGTATATACATCTACAGGACAAGGTGCTAAAAGGAGTAGAAAATCCTGTCAGAAAATATAAGCTTAAGGTTTGTGGTTTTGAGGAATTCAGACCGACGACAGTAATTGTACCCTTTGTAAATATCAATTAGATATAAATCTAAAAACATTTCCGGTCAAAACAACTTTTAAAGATAAATGTCAAGAATAATCTTTACTAGGTCAATGTTGTTTATAGAGATTAGAATTTACTTTTTTTCTATATTTAAAATCAATATAGCAAAAATTAACACGATTTAAGAATAGTTAGACATACCATACGCTAGCCATTGTCTATACAAACGATCGACTTAAATGACGGATCACACCTCTTATGTAGAATGGTAGAGGTAGAACAGAAACACATTGTAATATATTGCCAACACTAAACGAAAAATCAGAACTTAAAGACAACAGCAAAACTAGGTTAGATAACAACAAAAAGGAAAGCATTGCGAAGTCATAAAACGAGGCAAAATAGGTTGCCTTGGAAGGGGAATGGTCACATTGAAATTAAGGACACTTGTCTGTATATCACAGTGAGCGTCCTTTCATCCTGACTGCCATGGAATTCTTAAAATCTGAAACTACATTCTGATGACAGTGGTAACATTTCCACAGCGTGGATTGAAAGATCTTCGGAAGGAAACCTTAACTAATGTTTTGGCATACATGATACATATATACAGCTAATCGTGATACTTGGGACAGGCTCTGTAGTAGCAAATCATCTGACAAGAAAACTCCTCAAGATAGTGACCCTAAAAATTACGTTATATCATTAAATGCTTATTTTCACGGCATTTCTATGAAAAGATATTTTTCAGTAGACGAATTTACAAAGCAACATTTTCCTTGTCAGTCTTCAACATTGTACAATGACCGCCGAAACTCGAGCGCGAGAGACAAACACGACAATTTTATCTAAAAGTCATNCCACGCACACACACACACACACACACACACACACACACACACATTTCACTTGATGTTCATTTTTTCTCCAAGATGAGTGTTTGTAATCATTTGACAATAAGCGCCCCGGTATTATCCTGAATGTCCATTCCACGGTATCGTACCAACACGGCTCCATACGGACCCCTTCCTTGGTAACACACCACATGCATAGGTGCTTGTCAATGAAAACTGTCTACTGTAATGTATCTCTAATCCTTCTTTACTCCACTGGGTTGGGACCGGACGTGTAAAACAGTGTTATATTTGACAGGTCCGTCTTAACTGCTAGTACACTGCCGGTACTGAAGTATATGTAGATAACGCAAGAGTCTACTTCTTAAACTCTCCTTGGAAACAAAATCATTGAGAAGCTCTGCGACGAAACCTTTTTAAATTACAGCTATTAAACTTGAATAAAATACAAGATCATATTGACATACACAACTGTACTTGATCTGATTTTATCTGCGGGTAAAAAGTAAACCAAAGTTTTGACACGTGAAGAGAAAATCTCAAGTTGGTTCAAGCTAGCGTACACGTCATGTCATGCTTAGATCGTTCGCAACTGTTATCATTTTTCTGTATATGACAAGAAAATAACCCACATTTGGTGGAGGGAACTCTCAGTCGTGGTATTCCGGCTTGGATTTGTTGTAAAGGATCATGAAATCATCACGCTTGTTCTGGTACCTGTTGTTGTCATTAGATCGAAGGAATCCTCCGGCGTATGTTGTCTTTTGGATGTTGTTGAGCTGTATCGACCTTTTCCTGTTTTACACGTCCTCTGGCTTAATGAACTTTTAAATGTTTTAATACGTAGATGTCGTAGGACTGGATGGACTTGCCTAACTTGTTCTTGTCCACAAGATTCGTTTGTTCTGAATTTCCCCGAGTTGCTATGTTTGTATTGTGCTTTACCTATTCACATCAGAAATGTACTTAACGACGTTAGTATCTTAACAGAAATTTACCCATGTACCCATTCCTTCGTTTCAGGTAAATGGTTTAACGGAAATTTACCCATGTACTCATTTATAAGTTTCAGGTAAATGGTTTAAAAAAAATATCCATGTACCCATTCGTTCGTTTCAGGTGAATGATTGGTATCCGTCTAAGTTGACCGACTGAAAACCACCAGCACACCTTAAGGTAGGTCAACCTCATGATCCCTTAATTTCGATCATAATGGCAAATATAGATGCGTTTTTATGGTAAAGTTATTGTATATTATTATTAGGTTATTAAATTGAATGATTAGGCATTTGGTTCTTATCAGTGATGTTTTTTTTTTAACACTCTGTTGATATGTAAAAGCAGAATTAATTTCCAAAATTTACGGAGATATCATTTCATTTCTTGGTATCTTCTCAGAAAGTGTAAAATTAATGTTCGGAGAATCCAGTTTTAAACACAATTGAGTTGTTTGCTATTAATAAAGTGGTTGATCTTGCAATGACACAATTTTAGTCTTGGTTTTTGGTAATATATAAAGACAGTTTGAAGATGATTTTCCATTCATCATCACTGATCACATAAATTCCCTAATTTTGTTAATCATTCATTTGGTTTTACACAATACCTTGTATATGTTATTCGGACTTTTTCTAACATTTAATTTCTACGTTCAATTTGAAATATTATTATTACACTAAAAAACAAATATACGTGATAAACATACCTTAAAATAGCATACAAGTCATGAACAAGTGCATTTTAAACATTTTGCCAACACATTGCATGATACATGTGCTTATTTGCAGATACATTAGGGAGTGTTGATGTCTAGTTTGGGTCGTTATACGGGAAGGTAGAATGCACATGCAGACGTGATCTTATGAATGTCATCATTAAAAGACCCCGAAGTAGACAAATTAAGATAGCAAACTGTTACCTGCTTAAGGATAACACGATCGTGTGTGTGTGTGTGTGTGTGTGTGTGTGTGTATTTGATTACTAGTTCAGTCTACCCCACTAGATTTGAAACTGTACTATTTGAAGGTGTTAATGAAATTTACCATTTTTACTCCAGTTTACTCTGCTTCGGGAAAACTCCCAGGCAACTAAGTGACATTTTCTCCTTACGGTGATGACGATAGATCGATCACCATAGTTTAAGTTGTCTTAGTAATTGTTTTCCTTAGACAGATTTGTTTTGCATTGATTTTCTTCTTCATATTGGAAATATGGGAATCAAATTTAATGGGAAAGACTAAGGTACGGATTGTTAAGAATGAGGCATGATCACACAGACTGTTCAGAATGAGGTATGATCACAGGGGAATCACTAGAATGTATTGAAAATTGATCACGACTAGTGACAGTGTATATTATTGTTAGCCGCTGGTGTAAATGTACGAATATTAAATGTTTTGATGGAAGATATTCTGTGCGTGTCAGTCACATTTACACACGGAGCTTTTTTTCACACAAAAAAAGCATTTCCCCTTTACTAAAAGAGAATAACATCACTATGAAAATTATTGTAATCTTGTGAAAAATCTATTCAGATATCAAATCAATGTGGTCATTGTTCGAGACTCGTATGTACTAAGATATTGTCGTGACGGCTTAAATCCTTTCATTCCATTCGATCTTTTCCAGGTCTACATTTAAATGGTATGCGAGAGGCCTAACCAGCTTAGACCGAGCGGAGCAGTGTAGGCGTGATGAATACGGGTATTTAAAGCCACGACATGGACCGAACTAATACGTATTATGCATGCTGGTCTATATCAAGATATTTTTAACCTGCACTGTGCCATAACTACCGATGAAACCCTCATCGGTCCTTCATTCCCTATATCGACTGTGTCTGACTTCAAGTTTTAACCGATATACGGTTTCATAATGAACGGCGCGATGGAGCCAAACACGTTATTTATTGGAAATGTTTAATTTCTGAGCCCTTTAATAGGAGGTGTGTGTGTATTGGCGGAGAAATTTCGTGCCTGAGCGGGTATCTTGTGTACATCTAAGAGACTCTCCACAACGTACGGGCCTCCATTCTGTGGATCGAACTTCAAGGTACTGGTTATCAATCGTCAGGAGTACTGTATACACTGGTCAAGTCTCCTACCGCTCGGAGAAGTGGAGATACAGGGTGCGTGTGTGAACTTTAATAACAATCGATCTCAGCGCTCAATTATAATCGCTAAAATATTTACATATCCAGCTGGAGTGTAGATGTGCCATTGTCATACACATATTAACACTGACTGGACGTGGACACGGCGTCTATAACCACGTCATCTAGCCCCACAGGTATCGGGAGGTGAAGCCGCACAGGAGGAGGTGAAGCCTTACAGGTATTAGAGAGGTAAAGCTCTATATACGTGTAAGCCCTCGTGTACCGACAGGTGAATGCAATTTTTACTCATTATTCCTGAACACACTGACATGAATTCCTTGTGCTGGACCTGATCCAAAAACACAACGACGTAATAAAGACATAATTGAAAATGCAATTGAGCATTTGTAAGGTGAAGAGGATGTTCAAACATTAGAACGTGGTTAGCTGTTTGGCAGCGAATGTAAGTAGGATGATAAGTTCAACAAATACATTTGACAGGAATAGAATAAATGGAAAGTGGTATGGGTAATTTGAATAACGTGTATATCATTAACCGACTCTTCAGATGTTTGCCGATCAACAGAGAATATCGACAAGTGGATATTCTAGCGCGAACTATTCCGCGGATAAATATGGGACGGAAGCAGCCAACGATTTACGGAGACATTTAATAGGCGAAGAGAGCAATGCTCGTACGGAGTTAAACCGCACCTCGTCACCGAATAATCGGCCAGCAAAGAATCACCCCTCACCACCTCTACACGACACAATGGTATCCGGGGGAGGGTTCGAGAGGAAAGTGTCGGGAGGTGTGGGCGAGAGGATGGTGTACGACCTCGTCTCGCGAAAGGATACCGCAAGGAGGAATCTGATGGGCCATCTGTACACCAGACAACCAGTGTTAAAACGTAGCTATTCCTTTGTGGCTGGTGAACGTCCGGCTACGGAAACACTACTTCCTTCGCTACAGAGAAGAGAAAAACACTCCGCCATTAGTTTTAATTCCGAAAGATATACCAAGCCTGGACGGAATGTAAACGTACGAGACCTTAAACAATGGCAGTCTGATAAAAATGCAGGAAAAAGAAACGGATGTGTACAGCCGGGTAAAAACGGCACCCCAAACCAGAAAGCCCTAAACGGCGGGCGTCCCGGAAGTCACCAGATAAGTCTTCCAGAACTTATAAACGACATCAACATGTCGTCCAGGCTCCATTCTCCCGGAGACTCGGACGGAGAAGATTCCGCTAGTGCACATGGACACAAGGGACCTCTCGATTTAATACGCAGCATGGATATGAAACCGGCAAGTCCGGTAAAGTCAAAAGCGGTAAGATATAGACCGATTACCCCAGGGGTTATAGAAAAATTAAATAAATTGAGACTATCGTCCAAAGTACGAACAGAGCAGTGGGTGAAAACACTTCCTTTGGACTACCGAGCTGCATATTCAGAGACAGACGACAATCTAACGGAACCTTCAGAACATTCACCGAAAGAAAAGGAATGGATTTATACAGCAACGTGAAGAGTGTGTTCTGGTCGAGTGTGATCTACAACTGTATAAAGATAGCATCTGATGTGAACTGCTGTACGATATATCGTTTAGTGTGAACCACAGCTGTACGAGATATCGTCTTGTGTGAAATCAACAGTACGAGATATTGTCTTGTGTGAACATCAAATGTACGATATATTGTTAAGTGTGAACCACAGCTGTACGAAATATCGTCAAGGGTGAACCACAGCTGTTCGAGATATCGTTTCATGTGAACCACAACTGTACGAGATATCGTATCGTTTCACGTCTAGTGTGAACCACAGCTGTACGAGATATCGTCTAGTGTGAACCACAAATGTACGATACATCGTTTAGTGTGAACCACAACTGTACGATACATCGTTTAGTGTGAACCATAGTTGTTCGAGATATCGTTAAGTTCGAGATATCGTTAAGTGTGAACCACAACTGTACGAGAAATCGTCTTTTGTTGACATCAACTGTACGATATATCGTTTAGTGTGAACCATATCGTTAAGTGTGAACCACAACTGTACGAGATATCGTCTTGTGTGAACCACAACTGTACAAGATATCGTTTAGTGTGAACCACAACTGTACGAGATATCGTTAAGTGTGAACCACAGCTGCACGAGATATCGTCTAGGGTGAACCACAACTGTACGATACATCGTTTAGTGTGAACAACAGCAACCACAACTGTACGAGATATCGTTTAGTGTGAACAACAACTGTACGAGATATCGTCTTGGGTGAGCAGCAGCTGTACGAGATATCGTCTTGTGTGAACCACAACTGTACGAGATATCGTCTAGGGTGAACCACAGCTGTACGATATATCGTTTAGTCTGAACCACAACTGTACGATACATCGTTTAGTGTGAACCACAACTGTACGAGATATCGTTAAGTGTGAACCACAACTGTACGAGATATCGTCTAGGATGAACCACAGCTGTACGAGATATCGTCTTGTGTGAACCACAACTGTACGATATATCGTTTAGTCTGAACTTCAACTGTACGATACATCGTTTAGTGTGAACCACAACTGTACAATACATCGTTTAGTGTGAACCACAACTGTACGAGATATCGTTAAGTGTGAACCACAACTGTACGAGATAACGGCTAGTGTGAACCACAACTTTACGAGATATCGTCTTGTGTGAACCACAACTGTACGAGATATCCTTAAGTGTGAACCACAGCTGTACGATACATCGTCTAGGGTGAACCACAGCTGTACGATATATCGTCTTGGGTGAACCACAACTGTACGAGATATCGTCTAGGGTGAACCACAGCTGTACTATATATCATCTTGTGTGAACCACAACTGTAAGATACATCGTTTAGTGTGAATCACAACTGTACGAGATATCGTCTAGGGTGAACCACAGCTGTACGATATATCGTTTAGTGTGACCCACAACTGTACGATACATCGTTTAGTGTGAACCACAACTGTACGAGATATAGTTTAGTGTGAACCACAACTGTACGAGATATCGTTTAGTGTGAACCACAACTGTACGAGATATCGTCTAGGGGGAACCACACCTGAGGTATAGTTAGGTCTGGTCTTGGCGTTGATGTGATTACGTGACTACGCAGTGATGTATTAAAATATGTCATTACAACTGTGATAATGTGTCTTAAATAATTTCTGTTCCAGAAAATATATGCACGTCAGCAATTATTTCAACAAGTATTAATGAGTTGAATTTAGATAGTACATATCAGCGATAATTAGGAACTATTACAATATACTGTAAATAGCTTATTTTTTGCGATACTTATCTATGCTATTTTGGTATAAACAATCTATTCGCAATTATCATATTTGTTTCAAAAAACCTTGCAAAGTTTTCATGTAGATGCCAAAGATGATTTTGTCCTTTTGTAATATAATTTGTAGATAACATTACTCTCAGTTAAGGAATGAAATTGTTAAGAAAAAAAAAGAAAAAAAACCCGGTAAAATCGTTTTGGTGTTCGGCACGTGTCGGCCATTTTCAATTAACAATTCATTGGAAAAATTCAAAGCGTAGAAAATTATTCTTTTACCGTGAAATCCCGTAAAATCCTGTCTTGTTATCTTTATTCCAGAGAAAATTGTGAAGGCAAGTCAATTATAAAGTAATGAGAAATATTTGCAAGTCATTCTCTTATGAGAATGATGCTAATCTGATTGACCGAAAATTTAACTTTTTTTGTACATTAATAATATATAGATATTCGGGCGTTATTCTCACTATCATGCTAAAATAAGCCAAACCTTTCGCGTAAGGCCCTATTTAGTGGTGCCTGATCATTGAGAAATCGATGGTTTTGTATATCTTATATCAAACAGTTCAGACAACAATGGATTATCAGCCAGCTTACTGAGAACAGAGGCCAGAGTTCTTGTGCAATCATATTTTTTGAATTTTAATCCTTATTCACATACATTCGGAAATGCGGTTTCATATATTCCCCCCAAATTTTTATATTCGTGAAAGCAATGATTGCAATTCCCCCGAAGAAAGGCGAATACATGAAGCTCGCGAGAGATAAACAATTTACAACATTTGACACTTCTTACATATATGTATAACTGTAGCTGTTTGAATATGTGTATGTAAGAAATAAAATATCGATAGTCATAATTATATTGATTTTGCTGTCAGTTGCTGTTTTAGCCAGGCGTATGTTGGCCCTGAAGATAAAACTTATTTCATGTATATTTAATGGAATTTAATCAAACGAATACATCTGGTTTGTCGGTGGTTAGACATATTTAAAGCAGATATAATATTATTTACTATCCTCAGGGACGAGAACGGTTGCATTTAAAAAAATGTTTTGCTTGAATAATTTAGTGTAGCTCTCAAGTCCAGACATATCGCATGCACTATGTAATAAACTGACGCGACTTCGCGCTCATACGACAGATACACATGTGATCATACGCCAGATACACATGTGTGATCATACGCCAGATACACATGTGTGATCATACGACAGATACACATGTGTGATCATACGACAGATACACGTGTGTGATATGTAGTAGGAGTCTCGGAGGTGTGCTGTAGCCTTGATGGCCACAGTCATCACGTTTGAGTAGTGGCATAGTCCATTATATACACACACTATACAAATTATTTAATATGAAATTGACTAGTACACCTCTACATTTTGCTATTCATGAATTATAGGGTTTTAAGTACCTCTCCGTCTGTTTCAAAAGTAGTTTTAGACCAATTTCGATTTCAACCTTTTTGGCCCCTATCATCACCGATGAGTCATAGAAAGACTAAAGGGCTGTGTGATGCAGTGTAATTATTTTTTGGCATACTGTATCTATAATATTACCAAATTTTAAAGCTGCAATCACCGTTGTTTGTGTGTTACATTAATCTTCCTCGATTCTTGAGTGTCCTGATATAAGACAGCCTTGCTATGGACAAGCAAATGCCTAGCCTAGTTCGTAATGAATTTGTTCTGTAAATACAGTATCACAAATTGAAAAATTGGGGGGAAACAATCTGGGATTCAAAACATCATTATTGGATCAAAAGACATTACGTTATTTAATTGCAAGTGGGGCAAAAATAATCAATTGAAAGTGTGACACAAATACATCACGAAGATAATGAACCATCATAAAACTTGGTCCAGACAAGGAAATTACACTTGATGGCAATCACTACGGAAACCACAGCCGTTAAGTGTCGTGTTTCATTCAGGTACGGTGTTGACAGGTGACACAATCAGTTCAATTGACCTCATAATGACTCACGTCGAAACCTTTCGTGTCGGTTATAAAGTCGATAGAGCGCTCGATTTCAATAACAAGAAATCTGCATAGCATAAATCGGTCACTGTAGAATAAGGTTTAATACGACCCTACTTATTTGCATATTACTAAATAAATACATGTTTCTCCTGTCACGTTATCCATAATCTAATGGTGATTTTGAAATCATGGTCGATAGTTTCGTTTTCGTCTTTATCAATTGCATGTTAATTATACAAAACACAACAATATATTACAGATTATATAGTGCATAGTGACGCGAGTGCCTAGGTACTGAGGCATGTTGTTACGGCCTTGACAATTGATTGCCAAAGATCTCCAAATAACAAGTACGTCAGGTGTTATTGCTAAGCTAATGTGTAGGGTGACCATATCCCTTGTATTTGTGATAGATTTGTACAGGCTAAACGATTAGAACTGACCCATAGTCACAGATACGGGGTTGCCACGATATTGGCGAATACCTGGTTCTTATCACGACTATGATAATCATAGCTGGCGAGCGTGCCAAGGCGTGGTAGATCTACAAACACACTTAGTCGATAGGGTGCTACACAATATCAAACGCTCCTATATAGCGTATGGACAACCTTGTTTCATCAGTTCGCTATCGACTTAATAAGAAAAACCAATCCAATCTTATGGAAACCGTTCATTTTTATTAGACAGGTATTGGTATGTGAGGCCAGTCAAGCCAAAGGGGCTTGGAACTCCTGTGTTCAAGCTGACATTGTACTGTATGTACATTTAACACTGTAGTTGTCTCATCGGCTCGGCCGCTCTGCCGCAATGAAATAATGTTCCCCTTCTATTTTATTGTTTTCGTGTCTCGTTGAATCATTCTCTATTGCTGTTGCCTATCTTTCAGTTGTAGTGACCCTTCAGTGCTGTATTTTTTTTCTAAGCCAGTTGAAATTTGCTTTTGGTGTTACTGCCTTTTGGTGTTACTGCTTTTTGGCGTTCACGTTTTAGCTGTGGTGTTCCTTTAAGTAAATGTCTTTGGTTTGTGTTGATATACACAGACACGAGTATCTATCCTTTGGTCCCCTGAATTATCTCCTTGCTTTAAGTTATGTAGGTCACTTTCCTGTTTTTTTCTACTCTTACGTGTTGGTGTACATGTTGTTCCTGCTGGTGCACTCTGTTTCACTTTGGACTAGTTGATTCCTGTAATCAGTAATATGATTGAGTTTCCCCGTGTTGTTGTCTTCTAGTCATTGACAGTGTTGATATTTTAACACTTTCGGCATATTAAATCATACCTAGGTTTGGCACAGACCATGCGGGCGTGTTTCAGCATGGTCGAAATGCCAAATAAATTACACTTTGAACAATCTTTGTGCCCTCTTACCTGTCAATGTTTACCCCAGATTAAGTAAACATGTAAATCTGTTTATGTATCCTGAAAGGACATAAAGACATACCGCCTGTAGAGTCCTATATTTCATACTTATGTCCACATCGACAGACTTGTAGTGATGGAACAGCACCTGTGAGTAGGCACTGTTGAAAGAGTATGTTATATAGGATCTTCACACATCAGTCGATAAATTCCTTATCTAGAGTATACCTTAGTTTATAACAAGTTTATAACACGATTCATCCGTCTTAAAGTAGATATCATACCTGGTCGGATAAGGGAGACACGGCATTAACAATCCTGCAATAAAAACAGGGATTAGCCATTCCAAAAATGTAAATAATCATATATCAATGTACGTCACGGATGAATGGAATTTACATGTTATCCTCCAACTAACAGTCATTTCTACAAGAAATTACAATGGACTCGAAAACAAAATCTGATTGAGCTACCATAATACATACATTATATAGTCTATATTGTCATTAATAAGATATTCACTTTAACATATCCCTATTGACTTCAATTTATAAATGGAAAAGTCAGTTATCTCAAAATCAAATCAGAATATCCATGTATGCTATTTCAATTAGAGAACAAAATCCATCAAAAGTCATGCGTGATTACCCGTCCACAACAAAATTTAAATCTTCCAACGAATATTCATTTCAATGAAGTTTTCATGTGTATGAGATCGATTGAAAGCAGTATACATTACCTAACAGCGCATCACAAAGATCCAATATAGATAAATATATAATGACTTTTAGCAGGCAATAGCGAACATATTTAATTATTGCTTTAAGACAACTACGATTTTTTTTATATTTTTTATCTGAAGTCGGATTTAACATGAAGAGACCATACCATTTAATAGAGAATAACCAAAACAAGTGTTTTAAAACAGGCCTACATCTTAATCCATTGTGGCCGGAACCACTGTCACCGGACAGACCTTCATGCTAAAGAACTTCTGCGCGCTTCCATCTGGGCCAACACTGGTTGATGAAGTTAGAAAATGTTTCACAATTGTTGTAAAATAAATAGAGTTTATATATATATATATTAAAAGTGCCATACGCTATTGTTACCAAACAGTCCTACATCCTTTTCTGAAGTAACTGTCACTGAACAGCGCTACATCCTAGTCTACAACGGTCAAAACGGCTATCTCTAAAAAGGACTACATCTTTTCCCTAAGTCGGTTAAAACTACTGTCACGGAAGAAAACTACACCCTAGTCTTTAGTGTCCAAAACTGTTGTCACCAAACTGATTTAAACCCTTCTCTGAAGTGTTCGAAACAACTTTCATCAAGTATTGGCGATATCATTCGTATTGCTGGAGGTGTAACAGTGCTCTGACCGACTTCCTTTGTTAGTTTCTAACATTGCTACAGGGTGACATCACGTTTATATCACTACCTATATCTGTGAAGATGAAATACCTGGGTAGATAAAATTCATGTCTTATGTCAAATTCAACGCTGAAATATCATACTGCTAGCTTTCAGTTCAATGTAACCAGTCCTTTATAGTACGTTTTAATGTAAGTAACCTGTTCGTTACATAGACTTATAATTATGAGAAAAGCACCGCCTGATCCTTTGTTCGTACCTACAGACTCAAGGGAGATGTTATCGATAATGAACCATTGTTACTATATTCACGCTCTGGGTTTGGTCTCCAAGTTCAGCGACATTTAATAATATCAAATTACAAGTATGAAAGTTCGTTTGAAAATTTTGATTAACAACCTGGCGTCATATTTTACGTCTATTAATAATTAAAACTGAAACAGCCATTGGTAACAGTATCTATCCGTCGGTATGTTACAGCCAGTCATTCAGGCAAACATTTATCACACTTAACGTGTTCAGAAGTTTTTTCTTCGAAACATTCTATCTCATTAGTTATACAATTGAATGTTAGATGGTTTTGATAATGCTGTATATAGGTGACCATTTTTAATCCCATTTAATAATCATGAAACATCACAGATTCAAAATTTATTGTCATATATGGTAAAGCTGACACAACTTTTTATAACTTAGTCCAAAGCTTTGATTTATTGAATCTTTTTTAATCAAATCTATTAATACAGATCATTCGAACATGGTATAAGTGTTACACGTAGTGAGTGTTTAGTTACTCATTAAACATGGACTTTCTTAACCCTTATTTAGGTATCAGAAATAATTTAGAGCTTCACCACGACAGCTCAAACTGTATGCCACATAAAATCTAGCTCTGTCGCGGATACACTTAACCAATGACATTTTAGTATCTACATTTCTGTAATATTATAGATTTAACAACTAAAAGACAGATTTAACATCACCATCATAATATACATTTACTTAGTGTTCTGTAAAATTAACATAATTACTTTGATACGCATGTATAATCATCATTCTGGAGTCATGAAATTATATATACACATGTAAACATAAAACGTCTAAATACACTGTAAACCAATCGCATGCTAATCGTTCTTCATGTCAACAAAGGAAGACTGACTGCATATGCATTTCAATCTTCCCAACATTGCTGTAACAAACGTACAAAACAAAATAAAACAATCTGCGCTCAATTTCAGAAGTAATCAGTTGATGGGCGAACTATCAGACTTGTTAACAATTATTCGGAGAAAGAATCGACATATTTGATCGAAAGAGCGGCCGACAAGGTCTTAGTTCTTTGTTCTCTGGCACTTTTATATGTTCAGAGTGGTACGTCCTTACAATAGTAATGGTCATGTCACCGAAATGCAATTTATTAGGTGAGGCAGCACGAGACTCCATCCTGGTCAAATTGTTCTGTCAACGAGCCATCCATGGGTGTCTTGGAGAGGAAAAGAGCATATTTAAAGATCATTTGACGTCTTTCATAGAAGCAGACTTGGAAACTTTGATTGTGCCTGTTAATGTGATCAGTTGAAAGAGCTCGAAAGTATTGCAACGGGGCAGTAGGTCAGTTTTGTTTTCTCCACGGTCCCCAGAAGAAGTGATTTTAAAAAAAAGTCAAAAATATCCGCCAGTTGCCACATACGGTTATGAAATTAAATTCGGCAGGGTATTCTTTAAGAATACAATACCCCATTGATCTGAAATGTGTAATGAAACACGCGAAACTGTATCCAGATATGGAACGTGGTCTTACGAACAGTTGACTCTCTGATGGTGAAGGTAAAACCACGTTACATCGTCAATCAACAAAAAATCCAACAACACTGGCCGATATTTCAAAGAGAAAAGGTAGGTGGCGCCGTTTAGAAAATAATTGTGAATTCCTCCGTTGCAACAGAAATTGTATTTCGTTATTTGTGCCTTAAATGTTACTACTACAAGAATACCCGGTTATATTATGTATGACAATATGGTGTGTCGCGTGCAGCACAAGTCTGTTACCCAAAGGTTAACTCATTCAATATTTGGTTGGACCTCTTGAATAGTTTAACGTTTGTGCTGTAACTTGGTAGGCGGGTATATTCGGAATTACAGGTATGTTATGCATAACACGTTTCTATCCTCTAAGATATCGTGAAACTTCATGGATTCAAATGTGTCGCCTATAAAAAAAATACTCACAAGGTCAAAGGTTCACTGAGAGCGACTTGTGATAGTCAATGGGAGCATGCTTCTTGTACGAAAATACATACATATGGAAAAACAACAAAACAGTATTTTCACAATTTGCTGTTTTAATGAGGATGACATGGTTATCCAACAAGGTGTATACGTCACCATGGTCCGAAAATGAACTTGTTTTTCAGTCACATAAATAAAGTTTGTGCAAAGATTCATATGAAATCAGCTATTGTATACATCTGCTTCATGTTCTGACAACTAAATGAAAATGGAGATCAAAATATCATGGTAAAATAGGACAAAATTGGCAAAAATATCAAGGTATGCAAGCTTAATATCGCGATCAATTCCCAAAATATACACATCGCCCACAATACTGTGTTACCTGGAAACCGCGCACAACAAATGGTATCTCTTTACCAATGCCATTATCTAGAGAAGTTTATCTTTAAAGATAGTGGTGACGCCTTGTCGCCGTTATATATACTCATATCAACAGACCTGGACAAAAATTTCAAATCAATTTTACCGGAGATATGTACACAGAGCAAAATGTATATTGCTTCAAGATTGCCTTTGTAATTGAAAACCCGTGGATTTATAAACGTACATAACACTAGTTATTTTAAATTAGGTACTGAACCTACCATAATGAGGTACAACAGCTCCAGTTGTCCCATCTATTGATAGTACAGCTTATAAATCACATCTTTAATGATACACGGACTATTAAACAGCAATCAGATTTTTTCTTCAGACACAGGCTATATAAAGAGATACATTTGTTGAACTGTACTCTTGTAGGTGTGTTTAAACAGGTGAACCATACAGTGATTAGTTGGGTCGGCTCCTGAAATTTGTCAGAAAGTGAGGTACAGCGCTATGGGCTGGATAACGACTGTGAATCAAACATCAGTGGTACATTTCACACCACAGATTTTAATGCCTGTATATAATATGTCATGTTAAATAGGTTTTTCACAAAATCTATGTTTTGTTCATTGGTTGGGTTCAACTCTTACATATGTATACATTATAAAAGAAAAGAAATGATATCAGAAGAAAATAAGATAGGAAATTAGAGACAGAGGGTTGAAAGTAAACATTCATTCACAAACACACATTCACAGGTCACATATACATACTATTTTCATATGTCACATATACATACTATTTTCACAGGTCACATATACATATTATTTTCACATGATCACATATACATACTATTTTCACATGTCACATATACATACTATTTTCACATGATCACATATACATATTATTTTCACATGATCACACGTGTACATACAAAACACCAGTCTTTCAAAATAAAGCTTTGCAGTCACGCTAAAATACCAATATAGTTCAGGTCATTTGATATATAAGACCACCCGACTTTGTTGACATAAATGATGAGTTTGTTGGATTGTTTATGACTTAATCATGTCTACTATTACTGACACAACACAGCTTCTTGCCATTTCTATATTAAACATGAAATGGTCCCATATTGCTTTGTAAATCAAATGTATAAAATAAACCCAGGTAAAAAAATGATCAAGATAAAATGACGGAAGACAATTATAATAACCGTTACTGAACTGTAGTACCTGGCAATTAAAACAATTACATAAATAAAAAAAAAGCTAAATGGAAAAACTGACGTGTATTAGAATGAACTGTTCTGTTTGTTTCTGTGAGACAAAGCCTGTTGATCATGATTACATGCCGTGCAGGCCTCTGCTTCACCAGATCCTAGACTTGGGACAAAGCCTGTTGACCACAGCAGGCCTCTGCTTCACTAGATCCTAGACTTGGGACAAAGCCTGTTGACCACTGCAGGCCTCTGCTTTGCTCTATCCTAAGACTCCCCAATTGATAATGAAACAACATTTCGTAATTTGGTCAATGTCAATGGGAAATGATTTCTACATTTATGAGATATTTTTTGTAGTCACTGTGCTTAAATTAAATATTCATTCAACCATGATCATGGTTATTGAAACTTTTATGAACAGTAGGTTTTTGAAATGGCCTGATTAATATGCAGAATATAAATTAATGTAAAATGACATTGATTGTTTAATCTATTTATACATACTGAATTTAAAATGCTTTATATATTTTTTGCAAAAATCCTATTCCAATAGACATTATTGGTCCTCTCTATTGTCCGCATTTCTGTCCTAAAGAAGGAAATAGATAAATTCCAGGTCTCGAGTGTTCTAGAGTACAACCCTGAATGGGGCCGGACATCATAGACGTGTTTTGTTAGCAGCTTTGTGTAATGTTACACTACCACTAACTCACATCTGCAACCGGGACCCTATCATGCTCATCAATGCTATAAATATAAACACAGCTCACTCCTGTTAAGTTGTATTTTGCCAAATATTTGTTCTCTCTGTTAAACGAAAAATTGTTTGCTTCCATATATCATTATGTCAAATATATGGAAACACTTAAGTTGCCTTCACTGTTTGAGATGAGAGGTAGTACAGATGAGACATAACTTCCCCCTTTTATTCCAATACTCAATGTAGGGCTACGAAATAGATTGAAAAACCGCTAGTCAGTCAGGCTAGAAGTTTCAAATTTTCTTATGTGCAAATTCCACAAACTCAACATTATTTAACATAACATCAAATTTTGACAAGTCAATCAGGCTAGCTGTTTTGGAACCATTAGAGTCAAGCAGCTGGAGATTTCACTAGTCTCAGACTATTGGCTACCCTTATTGTCTAGCCCTGAAGTAGACCAGCTGGAGACTTCACTTGTCTCAGACTATCAGGGTACCCTTATTGTCTAGCCCTGAAGTAGGCCAGCTGGAGACTTCACTAATCTCAGACTATCAGGATACCCTTATTGTCTAGCCCTGAAGTAGGCCAGCTGGAGACTTCACTAGTCTCAGACTATCAGGGTACCCTTATTGTTGAGACCTGACAATGTACAGCTGATGCAAGAATAAAACACAGAACTCCACTGTCATCACAAAATATCAAAAAACAATGATAAACATAAAATCTGGTAAAAGTAAATAAATACATCCGGCTCTGTCAGCACTAGATAACAATGTTATCTCTCCGTATGATAATAACACACAATGACAGCTTTCCTAGAACTTAGTTTTATTTTTGTCTGACACGCAGTTTCAATTAACTGACCGTGTCAATTAAACAAGCTATTTGACATACATTATTGTCAATTAAACAAGCTTTTTGACATATATTATTGTATGAGTGTTTTGAAACTTTGACATTCAGTCAAGATTTTAACAATGCCAATACAAGGGGAGATTACCCATGCTATTCTCCAAATAAAAAGTACACCAAAAGTTTTAGTTGAGAGTGACAGAGTTGGCTTTCAGTAACAAAAGTGATATTTTATTGTAAGCTGCAGAAGCACATGTGCATGTTGATAAATATTCCACTTTTTTAACAAAAATAACATATTAGGATGAAAAGGCTACATTTCAAAACGAGTTATTCCAACATTCCTCCCATATCAGGCATCATTCTCTTGAGAAATCAAAATCAGCTAACTGTCTGCTGTTAGTTTTAATCCAGCAATCAGCAATCAATGCTACTTTGTATCTCAGATCTTGTTATCCACAAGTATCAACATTTAATTACCTGATGTTTTCCTTCAGACAGCCTTCATAAAAACTTGTTTTGTTAAAAAAAAATATAAATAAAAAAAAAGCTTTATAAAATAGTCACTTTCGGACAAAAAGGAATTTCTAGAGAACCTAATAAAACTATATTTCATGGTTTAATAGGCCCTTAGATATAACAACATCATATTTACTCAAAACATTATTTATTCAGCCATAGATAAAATTGGCTGAAAATTATATTCAATTTAGAATGCCTGAAATGTTTTAAAGCTTGTGATTTAAAATGCTTGTCATCTATATAACTATAACATGTAAGACACTTACAATGCTGCTTGAGGGTGGGAAATGATGGATATGTCACTTCTACATATAACAGTACAATCTCTCGGCCGTCCTGACTAGCTAACAACGATACATCAGCACACAACACAGAGTGTGGGGTCTAACTACATGTACACGTGGTGTGGAAGAACATGTCAACTCATTCCCCGGGGTTGGGAGGTTTCATGTATAGCGTACGGTACCAGTACCTGTGGTCTTGTTCCCCGGGGTGGGGAGGTTTCATGTATAGTGTACGGTACCAGTACCTGTTGTTGGTCCGCAAAGGATCACTTAAGAATGTTAGTTGTTTAACTTGTTTCCATAGTCTGAATCCCACTTCATCCAGCAGGGTCAATGTTTTTTCATATAAATGTTATCCGGTTCATTGAATTAAATGTCTGATTGAGCCATTTCAATGTGAACACTTTTACAGGTAATGTGCATTTTCCCCGAGGCTAAAGGCTTACGGTGAACTGTTTCAACCTTTTCTAAACCAGAGTTACGATTCTGGAATTCTAGATTTTCACATCACTCAAGTCTTATAGCACTTTTGATAATGTTTAAATGATGATGCAGTTCAGTAACAGCTAGCTCACACTAGCCGACGATGATTTTCTAGAGTCATCTCCCCTTATTTGTTTGGCCTCTCCCATGAGTGTGTGTAACATTTTGCTGAGCTGATCTTCTTCCATCCCCAGGTCCCTTATGACATGAGTTGTCTTTGCTGGAGTAGTTTCTGTAAAAAGATAAAAGAAAATGTTCACACATCTAAAATATTTTCAGAATTCAAAAAATTATTGTGATGATGGTAAAAAGAGTTTTTAAACATTCTCTAACTATAATTTCTCATAAATAAATAGCATTTAGCATTGGTTTATCTGAATCCTAATAATATGTGATATACAATTTTGTAAAATATTCTGGCTTCCAGTTTATAACACTTCGGCTTAATACGGTAAATGACTTCTCCACAGATACATCAATTTTTACTTGAAAACTCAAAGAATTGAAGAGAGAGTTGGCTTTTAGTCCAATCACAGGAAATGATAATATTACGAAATGGTCCATGAAACTGAAACTTGATGTTAAATCCAGGTTCAAGAAAAAGAAGATGTGAGATGTTATAGCTTACTACAATACAGTAGGAGCCTACCTTCAATAGGCGTGTCTTCATATAAGGAGCCTTTCCTTAGGAAGGCAGGCTTCTTTCTCGGGGAAGTCCTCTTCAGTGGCATCACATGTTCACAGGCATGCTTCCAGAACGCTACAAAACAGACGATGGGTTTATAAACGCATACATAATTGAACATTTCAGGATACTAAATCAGTAAAATATGTATTAGTCCATCTTCTATACTCCCAGGCTTAGGTTCTCTTTTGCTCTCTGCACTGCTGAAACATGTCATGACAAAATCGAAAGGCTCAGTGTGCGCCACCTTGTGGATGAAAGAGAAGACTAGTTTGATCCTTTAATGTACTTTAAAAAACATTTCTTGCACCCCTGTAGTCTTCAAACTAGTAGCAGCCTAGGGATTGGTCAGGTATTATTTTACCTGAGACCAATCAAATAGCAAGCCCCATGCCTTCACTTTTGCTATGGCATATTCCAGGGTTGCAAAGAGTAAAAGTGAGCTGACCCCTGGAGTATTGAGGATGATATAGTAGTCATACATAAACAGATTAGTACTCTCACAGTGTGAACTCTCGGCAAATCCAACAGAAGTCCCACCTGACACCAGATGTACATCCCAAATTTCCACCTTACAGTTTTGTCCCTTGGTTGACGGAGTTACCTACCTTGGTCTAACAGATGCTGCTGTAGTCCGTCCCACCATTTACTGAGGTCCTCAGCGGAGTCAGCTGCTAGAGTGTGCTGGAAGGTCCCTCGTCGCTGGACGGTCTTGATGTGGAATGTGTGCGACCGCTCACTCGTTCTGGGGTCGGCATCACTTATCTGAGTATTCTGTAATATAATGGGGATCAATAACAATATATTCTACTCTGGGTAAAACATAATACAATGTCAACTTGATTTAATTTACAACAATCATGAAATAAATTATTTCAATTTATATTAATCACTCTTGTTGGTCCTAATGTGAGGGCGCAGGGGATTTTTATGTGGGTGGAAACCAGAGTACCCAGAGAAAACATAAGTGGTCGGGCGTGCGACCCCATACTTTAACATGTGTGATCGGGGAACTGAACCCCGGCTGCCTTGTTGAAAGACAAGTGCACTATCCACTACGCCACCCGACCAACCAAAACATATGTTGTCAGTAACAAATTGTCAGTGAAGTTGAGTTGCTAGGCATATATAGCTCTCTGTGCATGTTGCTCACCTAATTCTCTTCATTCTGAATATATAAGCTATACAATGTTGTATATTATCATATAAGAAATAATAATCAATGAGTTGACTGATGCTGTGACCTTGACCTACCTTTGTGACAGGTACTGTGACCTGGGGGTCAGTGACCTCTGTGTCGCTAGGAGACAGCCAGCAGGACAGCTGGAGATTTTTAAGAATACACCAATACCGCCTCCACTTGGCTAGATCATCATCCTCCTGGTGAAACAAACACAGAGAAAACAATCAGCATGTTTCAATCATAACTACAAATCTATCAATTTCAGCTCAATTTATAAACTTTCTTGTTAATGGAGAAAACAAATTGTGCTCTAAAGCATGTAAAATCAAATATGACAAACTATTTTTCTTTTAAAACTACAAGAGCAAGGCTTCCTGTTGTGTACAGGGATATTGTTACTGATTACACTTGATCTGTTGTTTGCTTTTCTAAAAATAGAATGAGGCGGTCTGGGTCTAGATACTGTTACCGGCTTTGCTTGATTTGTTATTTGCCTGTCTTGAATTCGAACATATTGGTCACCTGACGACCAACTATCCAGCTTGTTTAATGTGGAGGGCGGGCCTGTTAACTGGGTTAAACACTAGTAAGAGCTATTTATCCATCTTACCTGGATGTTGAGGTAGCCGGTCACCTCGGGTGTCATGAGACACTCGGGCTGAGCTGCTAGTCGACAACAGTAGTGTCCGAACAAGGGAATCTCACATCCAGAGTCTGAAATGGTCAATTCAAATAAAAAAAAATCAGAAAGTAGGCTACTTTTCCTTAATTTATATCCCATGAATAACCTCTGTTTAGCATAAATATTTTTTAGAAAGATGGCTTCTCCCTGAGTTTTGGTAATTAGAAGTAAAACTGATATACATTCCTGATAATGAATTAAACTACATGCATAGCATATTAAACGTAAGCTATTTTGAAGTAATCTTGCTGTGTTATGAGACACTTGATCATCCCATTCAGACAGGCTGTAAGCTTTCCAGTGGTACAAACTGTACATGGTTACTTATATACCAAAGGTTTACAACTTCTTTCATACTGCAAATAAAACCTAAATGTTTTTTTGTCAAAATCTGTTTTGACCTCATCTTTAAATTAAAGTGATCTTTTTGGGGAGCACAACCAGCTGACAAAGTACTGACATTCATTAATGCGGTGTTTAATTTAACTTTGAACCAACCATACCGGGAAATGCATGGATTTTGTGCTGTATCAATTATTACATAGCAGTTCAACTTCAGAAGTATTCAGAAGATGTTATGCTTAGTAAAACCATGTTCTTAAGTAATAAGGAATGAGAGCAACAATTGAAAATTTAACAGTTGAAGTTTTAATTTTGTAATGCCCTTTCAACTTAAATGACAAATATTTACATTTGGTTTGTACAGTCCTCAGACAAATCTACCAATCAAAAATGTTGTTATATTCCAATAACAGCAAGAACCATTTCATGTGAATGTTTTCCAATACACATCTGTTCAGGCCTTTCTGTTAACTAAAATGACAATTACTTCTGTACTGTATTTGTACATGACCAATTCCAGAGTTGTGCCCCTTCCATTAAGCCCTCTTTTTGTATATGTGACCAATTCTAGAGTTATGTCCCTTCCATTAAGCCCTCTATTCGTATACAGTATTTGGGCATGACCAATTCCAGAGTTGTGCCCCTTCCATTAAGCCCTCTCTTTGTATACATGACCAATTCCAGAGTTGTGCCCTTCCATTACAGTGCTCTCCTCAAAGGTTTTAGAGAGTATAAGATTTTACCTGAAGCCTGATTTGTTGATACAAGCTGGAGATCAAATGTCCTCACAGAATCGTCCACATCCTTAAGTTCCATCGTTCCTTCTGCCACCAACTCAAACCTTGGCCCTCTGTGACAGACACAACAGCAAGTTGTTATACCTAAACTTTCTGTGCAGGCTCATATTGGCCTGATGGTGACCAGTACATTTCAGTCTCATTATATACAAGATCCAGCACTCAAAGCTAGTGAACAGCCATTATAATTACCGTCTACATCAAAATCTCCCAAAGATTAAAAACCTAAAAACATTTTTTTTTGCAGCTTGAAATCTAATGTCTTATTTTACACTTCCGATGTTCAAATATTTCAATGACAAGCTTAATCTTTCAGATTTACATATTTAAAACTGATGAATGTCTTTATGATTAACAGTGTTGAGTACTTACAGCACCATGTTTCCTATTATGTCGGCGTCGTTCTGGAATGGAATGGTTACACAAACTTAGAATGGATACAAAGAATACGTTTAAACTAGAGAATTTCTCGTGTTATCATCATTTAAGGGGTAAATTCAACACTAAGGTAATTGATTACAAAAGACAACAAGGTCAAAAAATATCAGCACACAACATTTGTCTATCAATATTCCAGACATGAGGTCCCTTTCATTAAACATGATTTTTTATATGGATTCATTCATATATGGTACATTCAGGGAAAAGGGATAAAAAAAACCCAAATGTTGAGGTATGAAATATATGAAATTTTTAAAGATTGACGTACCAGTCCTGACAATCGCTTGCCAACACTTCGCCCGACCGATCCAGAAATATCGTTGATTTTTTTGCGGAGTTTCTTTGGTGTACTGGCTATGGTGAGGTCCTCGTGAAGTTTGTGACAGTACACTTCTAACTTACACTCAAAGTTGTGGGGAACATTTTCACTGAAAGGGATAAAAATATATACATACTTCTACTGTCTTAATAAAACATGATGTTTGGCCTTCTTGTTCTAAATCATCAAGAACCTGTAGTTATACTGATGAAAATGTGCAAATTTCTATTGTTGATAAAATAAATCTGAAATTGTTGCGACTTCTTGTAAGACAACATGATTGCAATGTGTGGAGATATATGTACAAATGTATATTGAATACTGCATACTGGAACATTTTCGCTGCTGTTTAATTTTCGACTTTTTCGTCCCCCGAAGATGATGGCAAATTTATCGTTACATCCAACATTAAAACTAGGTAAATATGGATTTTACCGGGAAAAGGTGAAACGCTGACAGGGTGAAAATTTCCTTGTATACAGCAACCTTTTGATAAAATACTGCTACATTAATAAAACAACATTCAAATTTTGGCATAAGTCTCAACATGTTTCATGATTCAAGTTCCAGACACATGTACACAGCACCCCAATAGCATTGTAACTGCAGGATAATATGATAGGTTCTGACCAACTGGAGTGATAAACTGACTGTAGGATAATATGATAGGGTCTGACCAACTGAGGTGATAAACTGACTGCAGGATAATATGATAGGGTCTGACCAACTGAGGTGATAAACTGACTGCAGGATAATATGATAGGGTCTGACCAACTGAGGTGATAAACTGACTGTAGGATAATATGATAGGGTCTGACCAACTGGAGTGATAAACTGACTGTAGGATAATATGATAGGGTCTGACCAACTGAAGTGATAAACTGAAGTAATCAATGTTGTTAAAAACCACTTCTACATGTATGTGCAAAAGTCTCTCTTAAATACATCAGAAAATAAAACTTTTCATGTCAACAATATTCATATTTTTGCTTACCAAAATTACTATAAGTTTCCTGTAAGGGTTATGCCCCCTTATGCAATTAAGTGTGTACTCCTATAGTTTAATTAAATTATCTCAAACCAATTAACTTTGGAGAAATGTGTTAGAATTAATTAACTCATTTCAGACCCATATATTCAAATTGAATTTCATCATTAATACACAGCCCCCCCCCCCCCTCAATTTAACGAGAACCATATGCTGTTTAGTCATCAGTATTGGTGCCCGACCAGGACAAGCCGTCCTATCATACATCTGGTATACTACCTACCAGAAACCTTAACTTTAGAACAACTGTGGGGTCTGCTATCCCTCAAAAAAACCAGTGTATTTTTTGTGTTACTCTACAGAGAAAATATAATGGGGAAGTATTTATTGGGATTTAAATGCTCGACATCTTAACTTCTTCAAAACTGAGTGACCAGTGGTCACATGGCCTAATTCCACCGGTCACTTCTCTCCTTTACCTCTTGGTCTTCTGCACTAAATATAACACCCTTTACAATTAAGGTTTAGGTACCCCTTACTCATAAAAATAGTTCTTGAGACAGGATGAAGGACAAGAGGATAGACAGAGATTGGAACTAGTACTTCCTAACTGCTAGTACCTCAATGGACACTCTAATCAATTATAATTATCAGGAGTTATTTGTTCTTCAACAGTCACCAGCCCAGTTATGCTAGTTAATCATGCTCAAATGTTCTCAAATATATTTCTGGAATTTATACAGTTTATTTGTCACAGTGACCTTGACCTTTGACCTAGCCAGTGACCCCCATCCAAGGCAGCATCTTTTAATATCGCTAAGTATAACCAGTGTATACATTTTAAGCACCACGGCCTATGTGAACCGACTTATCCGACAGAATTATAGTGATCAAAAGACTGCCCAGATTATACCAGGTAAATGTTTATAAACATTAGAACCCTGATCTGATGTATACAAATTAGCCACCACACCGATCTCAAGAACATGTGTCTGCAGAAACAAAAGTGATGAAAACAGGAATAGGACTTTATTATAACTGTTTCAATACTACATATGAATTATAATTAAATATATAGCCTTAAAATCTTTAAATGTGAAGAAAAACATGTGAAATTCCTAAACTTGTTCAATCTAAATGAATCCTTGTAATATAGATTTTCACTGTGTTTTCTAGGTCAGTTACTACATTTTGTAATAATAAAATTCATCTGTCGGCTTTGCACCCAATAAGCAGTCTCTCTGACGTGGATGTATCAGTTTGACTACAACTGAAGCCTGTTAGGTTTAAATGTGACATCTGGGGCCTAATTCACAGCTCTTACGCTTTAAATACTGACAAGCGGAAGAAAGAATAGCTGACATTTATTTCAGGCATTTTAAGACTCTGTGTTCTATTTCCTGCCCAGAATGGCCCTCAACACTTACAGTGTAAACAAAAGCTACACAACGCCACTTTTAATTGCACATAAATCAGTAGACTTGAGCAAGCTTAAGATAAGAGTTGGGGGGAAATCAATATAGCAAATAAGGACAACTTTTTCTAAATAAACAGTGTACAATATTCTCAAAAATCCCTGGATAAATCTCATCAAACATGTAATAAGAACGATTTAGAATGTGTAGTACATGTACTTAATCTTTCAGTTTTATCATAAAACCTTGTGTAATTTGCATGATTTACGGCAAAACCATTACACACATGGCAAGTGATGCAAAAACTTTTAACTTTCAATTTATAAAACCCTTGTATTTATATGTGTATGAAGTCACACTGATGAGATATACCGGTATAAGCTCTTTGTAAAATGATTTCCTGCCCCACCTACAGTACCAGAAACTAATTCCCAGGCGTGTCATGCCTTAATATATCTCTCGCAAATCTGATATTGATAACAACTAACTGAAAAATTCCCAAGAATATTTTTATTCGGAGTGAATGTACATTGAATTCCATTTCCATAGGCAACCAATCCATTTCCTGTGTCAATTCATAGAAATGCAAATCAGGCTAATCCTATCCACCCTCCCATTGACAAGGACACTTTCTACATGATGATCAGTTCCTAAACGTTCTGCTGAGCGGACAGAATCCGCTTCAACTATATACGGACACCACATGTACACACTGTATCCGCCTATATAGTGTTTATCACAATACTTGTGAGATTATCAATCAAATAGTGTGATATGAACTTTAACCCTAGTATCAGAAAAAATCCTTTAGATGTTGTGTAATAGAATATTTCAGTTTCATTATTTTTACATCGCTATACACCTAGAGAATAAAGAAAGTTAAGGATATAATATTTAAAGGAATGTCGAGTCTTTAAACTGTTACATAATGGTTTTTTAAGTATTTAGATAGGATTTCAATTATATTGACCTTTTAATATTATCTGTTGCAAAATCACTGTAAAATGAATTTCTCATGATCTGAATGATTTGATGGGTTTTTTTAACGCATTACAGTTTTATTGCAGAGCACATCAAAAATTGCAAACTAACAAGAAAAGGTGAAAAAAAGCATCGAAGAAGATGTCTTTCCTAACGAGTGTATCAACCCCTTTTTTACAAACTGTTATTACTGGACCAATATAAACATTAACAAATATAAAAGATACCATGTTTAAGTATTTATGTATCGCATAGAATAACAAATTCTTCAGCAGTGGCTTACTGAAATTTCATTAATTTACCATTTGATTAAGGATAATTTGAATATTCTCAGCCAAAGCTGAGGGTTTTTGTAACAGGTGAGCAGACTAAATAAGATTTTTCCTTTTGCAGAAAAATGAATCACCTTCTAAAGGTTATTATGCATGATCCATGCAAAAATCGTAATTACACTGACAGCTGAAAAAAAGATGTGCTCTTAAACTGATGACATCATAAAATACTCACAAACTGATGACATTATCAAAGGTGAGGTCAGTCATACTCCTGTCCACGTTACTGATGAGCGACGTGTCATACAAATCCGTCCCAATCCTCACCAAACAAAATACTGCAAAACGCCGATAATCTGTAAGGAAAAAATTCTGTATATTTAACCATGATCAGACAATCAAGTTTCAAGCATAGGAATTCAATACAAACTGAGTTACAAGGTAAAGAATGAGTTGTAAAAATGCACCCTCCACTACTGGTGAGGACTGAAACCTACTTTCTTTATTATATCAGGAAAAACTCTGATCCAGCCAGATGTTGCCCAAGGACAGTCTAAGAAACAGAAATTAACAAGAATACATTTCCTAGTATGTGATAATCTTCGATGTCTTTGACATTTTCCTACATGGGCTTTCGTGAGAAATCAATTCCTGATTTTCTACATAACAGACTGATAATTATGTGTTACAATACATGGTTTTCTATTGATCTAGATAAAAATAGACGCTTATTCATACTTACCTCCCTTGTTCTTGAAGTGATCTGTATCCTTCCACATCAAAGGAATTCGGATATCTATGAACAGGATATCGACAATGTTGATCATCACTAAACATTTATCAGATAAGACAACAATTCCTGGAGGGTAGCCAGTATACGGCCATTCTAGCGACCAACAATTGCATCAGAAAAGACCATGCCATGATTCAATTTTTTACATGTTCTCTTATTCCCTATTAAACTAGATAAATAATGATTGAAAATAAACTAGGATATGTACATGGTTTTATCTCTATGCCAAGCCCAGCAGCTGAATCAGGAGTTGATTGCTTGTATTTTATTACGTAATTGTGCTGTGTTGGCTGCTATCAAACAAATCCCCCTATGGAGATGTGGACAAGCCAGTAGTGGCATGATCAGCCTCAGCAGCAGAAAGCTGTCCAATATGTACTGCTGTTTTAGTTTCACTTCCCTTCTTTTGAATAAATCCGGAACAGGAAAAGGTTTATGGAGCAATTAAATATGGTGTACCCTTGTCACACACGGACATCACGGACATGGCAGACATGTTACATACTGTAGGTTTTTGTAATTTGTGGCACTCTAGCTGATAAGGAACAGATACGGCCATTTGATGGCTAATATATGTAGCTGATTTCAGGAGTCTGCGGGAGACGGTTTATTTACTGTGAGATTGATCTGTGTTAATCAGAGCTCCATTGATTAGCAGTATATGTGATCATAAGAACCACATAGCTGCAGGGCCTGAATATGTAACCGACAATGCTCTCTGGAGTGGAGAATTCTGTATCACACATTTTACTTCTGATGCATGCGCTTTGTTTCCCTTTATTTTCTTCTCAACACTAGAATCTGTTTACTGTGTGATCAAAGAAGTATGTTTTTGGTACCAGTGCCCTGTTCCTGCGGTTGTCGCGGACAGCCATGAAGGAGGCTACATAACAGGTCCCGCATGCAGTGCAGGAAACCACGGAGCGATTTGTTTCCCCTGTTTATATTTTTGGGCGGGTTAAGAATGTCTTTCATCTTTTTTTGAGGTTGCCTCAGCTTTTTCTTAGTATTGTGAGGTTGCCTCAGCTTTTTCTTAGTATTGTGAGGTTGCCTCAGCTTTTTCTTAGTATTGTGAAGATTGTAGGTACCCTTATACCTTGCAGTGAGTAAAAAGGGATTTCCCTATTTGATTTCCTGTTTTTATATAAACTGTATTCAGATTTAAATCTCCTTTTAAAGACACCTGTTTATAATGGACACTTCCTCACAGCTCTATCTGACACATAAAAGATATCATTAACATGAGGTTTGATAGCGAAGATGACATACATATGGACACACAGAAGATATAATTATCGTGAGGTTATCATGTTAACATGATGATACGTACCCGACACACAAAGATTGGCCTTACACGGGACCTGGTTACCGTCCATAGACCTGATAATAAAAACATTACAATATCAATTCACCTGATCATAATTAAAACGACAACAGCACAGCTACAATCAACGTAAAAGCAACATAGAAACAATAAACTTTAGACAATGACTACCTCAATATGTTTAATTAAAGTCTGTCAGATTATTACTTTCTTCTGTTGGGAACAAAGCTGTTGGCTCACTATAAATACACAGATGTTTGAGAAACTTCAATGATAATGGTTATTAAGTCGTTAATGAATTACTGTACTTTGTGTTAATATGACCTGATTACATAGACCTGCCAATGTCTGGTCATTGCTGGCTATGGGTGTTCTAGGGATCCTCAGAAATTGTAATAGATTGTATGGAGGGAGGGATTTATTTCAGCATGAAATTTGTTTTCATAACTATTTTCCTAGCTCATATAAGTAAAATTGCAACTGGTATCTGTGAAATTGTACTTTTAAAATATCACCATTTAAACTTCACTGTCTAGTAATCAAATCAAACTAAGAAATGTACATATAGCTACGATATAGTTAAAGGAATTAAGATTCTTACAGTTTAAATCTGTTCAATTTAAAAATCAACTTAGGGTGAAAAATGTACGTTTAAAAAGCTGCTGTATTTCTTTAAAAACAAAATTCTTTAAAGTGCATTTGCATTTCTATTCAGACTTAAACAAGCATCAAGCATTGTACATGTACAGCATCCCAAATATGGGATGTGGTAATTACTTGTCTCAGACGTGATCAGATTTTTACAAGATTTTCAGATAAACTGGTCATAAACTGGCATGCTTTGTGTGACAACTAGCTATACAGATCTCATCGCCTCACAATGCAATTTATCCAAATTAATGATACTTCTCAGACACACGTTCAGGTCCATTTGTTGATAAAGAATACCTGACGATAGAACTGAAAGGACACTATAAACTGACGGTTTACACGTACAGGTTTTTGCCGAGGACCTCCGCCGTCTTTCGTTTCTGGAGCTCGGTCATGTACGCGATGATGCGAGTGTTGGACGTTAGAAGATTTCGGGAGGCTTCCAACATCTGGGCGGGGTGTTTGGTCGCAGCCAACAGCTTGGCTGTCCCCTCTCGCATCTTAACCTCATGGTCAATTTTCTGCTGAAGGTCTGTGTCCTGAAATACACAATATAGTAGGCATCCAATGACTTGTTCAGTGATTGTATAACGTAGGTCATGTCTGTAGGACATAAATGACATTGATTTTCCTGAAAATAAAAATATAGAACTAGACAAGAGATCCCAGAGGGATCTTGGCATCCACCTTTGTACCATCTTCATTAGTTCTTTGTCAGTTCGATCTTTTCTCTTCTTTCCTCTAATCTGTTTGATCGAGTCATGTTAACAGTAAATGCACCTTGAGGTAACTTTTGATCTAAACTTAATACTGATGTGTATGAAAGCCAACCTTCAAAGTGAGTTTGTCATTTCACATATTTACTAGTACAGTACTTAATGTGAAAGAAATAGAATCGATCATTGCAATATGAGAAAGATCTGTTTAGTTCTTCTTTTAATCCATTTTGTTTTTATGATCAGTCTCAAAATATAACATACACAACGAGGGATCAAGGGGAACCTACATTTAAAATTTGAGAAAGATCCCTCCCGTACTTCCCGAGAAATAGCGATAACAAACTTTCACTATCAAAATCCAAGATGGCTGCCTGTCGGCCATGTTGTTTATCCGATCAGTCTCTAAAATTGCCCTGCACAGCTAGGACCAAGGGGAACCTACATATAAAATTTAAGAAAGATCCCTCTAGTTCTTCCGGAGAAATAGCGGTAACAAACCCACACTATCAAAATCCAAGATGGCTACCTGTCGGCCATGTTGTTTATCCGATCAATCTCAAAAGTTGCCCTGCACAGCTAAGGACCAAGGGGAACCTACATATAAAATTTGAGAAAGATCCCTCTGGTACTTCTTGAGAAATAGCGATAACAAACTTTCACTATCAAAATCCAAGATGGCTGCCTGTCGGCCATGTTGTTTATCCGATCAGTCTCAAAAGTTGCCCTGCACAGCTAAGGACCAAGGGGAACCTACATATAAAATTTGGGAAAGATCCCTCTGGTACTTCTTGAGAAATAGCGATAACAAACTTTCACTATCAAAATCCAAGACGGCTGCCTGTCGGCCATGTTGTTTATCCGATCAGTCTCAAAAGTTGCCCTGCACAGCTAAGGACCAAGGGGAACATGCATATAAAATTTGAGAAAGATCCCTCCGGTACTTCTTCAGAAATAGCGATAACAAAGAATTGTTTCCGGACGGAAGACGGACAACGGACGGACCACGGACCACGGATGCAGGGTGATTTGAATAGCCCACCATCAGATGATGTTGGGCTAAAAATGTCTGTTAGACATGAATGCCCTAGTTTCCATGCAAATAACATGTGCCATTTTTTGCCACATTTCTATAAATAGTAACAGTGACACTGACCTTTGCTTCCTGAAATACAAATTTAAACTCATTTGTTTCATCCTTGATCATGTACAAATTTTACGTAAAAAAATCAAAATGTATCAGCAAAAAGTTGCTATAGTGATTGACAACTTTTGTAGAAAGAATGGTAACACTGATGTCCCCACTTATGAAAAAGATGGCGGGGAGGGGATCATCCAAAACTGATGCTGCAATGGACAACATGCCTGTCCATCACATCAGCTCAGACACTCTGTACCAGGTGATCAGCCAGTGACAGCAGACACAAGAGTATCAATTCAAACGCTGTATTAATTACTGTAAACCAACCAGAAAGATTATTTTCAATGTTAAAGAGTCACTTTAGCCCATTTAATTCCCCATTTATGAAACAAGCTAGTGAACCTAAATGGCTTACAATTAAAAATAAAACTCCAGCAAGACATTTGTCATTGGTAAGGATGTGCATACTTTTCATATCATTTTCACTACCATGTATTTAACTGATGATTATAAGTTAAATACATTATGTATATTTCTATATTAAGAGCATAGATGACACATGAACAGTAGGTTGAAGCATAGCTCCGGGAAAATCTGCCAAGAATAAGTGTGTATATACTGAAACTGATCTACCTTTATAATGTTTCTGTAACACTACAGTTGCACATGCACCAGCTAACACACATGACAATATGTGCATTATATATGGTGACAAAAACTAAGTTGTATCTACATAGTTACCCAGCTAGCATTGCCCGCCTTGTCCACTCCCATGCTGATACAGAGTCTGACACAGTACAGCACACATGGGCCTCTACCCGCCCCAGTGAACACCGCTATCTCCCCCCAACATCTTTTTACTTTTGTCTCCTTTAAGTTTTCCTATTAGTCGCCATGAAATTAGACTGAAACACTCAGAACTGGACCATCTGTTCAGCATCAGCTGCGCCTGCACTTCTTCATTAGTCAGTATAATCAAGAAGCACTACAGGGCACAGGTTTCATTGGCAGTCAGTATAACCAGACAATGGAATCCATCTACGACAGTGTTAATATGGAGGGAACCTGGGGCACTGTATCTCTCTCCATATAGACAGTCTACAAGATCACAATTTCCTCCATAATACATATACTCCATGTATTTCCTACGGGCCTCGATCAGTTCATTCTCTCACAGAATGGACAGTTTTCTGCCTTTCTCCATTACATTTTGTAAACAGGAAGGATTAGGTCAAAGGAATCGGTCTTTGAACTTGGAACATTAGAAACCATTGACAGTGGGTCTATGTGATGTATCTTTATTATAGACCTAAATCTATCAAATATTTTATGGACAAGACATGACCAAACAATTTTACATATTTAGTGCTTGGTAACATGGATATCAAAGAGAGAAAAATGTAGGTACATATTGTAATAATGAAGAAAGAAATTAATTTTGCAGACCTCTTTTTCCTTTACTACACAGTACATCTTTATTGAATCGTACTTGCACAGGTCATCATAGCAAAACAGTTCACAGAGAACTTGGCTCTTTAAGTAATTGGTTCTGGTAGACCTGCAGTAACAAATTTGAGCCCTCAGTCCTTTAACATGCGCAGTCAATTCTTTCACAAATGTGTAGCACTCCAGACTATTAATTACATATTAGCTACAAGCCATATACCAGGACTGAAGATCTAGGCCATTCTTTTTAAAGGAGAAGTCATAACAAATTTGATGCCTGTGACATGTGAATCAACATCACCTGGATATCCTTCCCATAACATTTGTTTATTATGGTATGGGTTAGGTGATTTAGAAAGAATTAGGATGGACAAATCGGACAAGCCATACTATATTTATATGTTCCTTCATAAGACAGGCATTAACTCATTCACCCCTGAAGACACATTTGAACTCTTCCAATTCAAAGGTTGGAATAGTTCATAATGAATTTCAGGGGTGAATGAGTTAAACTTTCTCAATGTCATTTTCTTGGGTGTTGTATATCAGCCCCCCCCCCCCCCCCCCCCCCCAAAACACTCACACATACAACATACATTAACAGTAAATGTTTTAAAATGTCAGAACTTTGATGATGGGAACGGTTTCTATAGATTTTGGTTCCTGCTGACTTCTATAAACACAGGGATCAGGTTGTGATCAGCTGATAGGGAGGAGCTGAGGTCACCTAGTCTGTAAGTCTGTACTACAGCCCACTTCAGTATCTAGGCCAGTGTATCTACTAAAATCCTGGTTAATTATATAACCAGTTCCAACAGGTCGAGTTTATCACTTTGTATACCAATAAAACAGTTGACTTTCTGATATCAGTGCACATTTGATTGAAATTTCACTTCCATAATTAGTTGCACAGCTCATCGACGTGTGAGAGATTTGAACCACATGCTGACACACACACACACACACACACACACATATATATATATGAGAACCTGCAGGTATTAAAATGGATGTAATATACAACTTTAAAGGAAATAACATTTTTATTTCCAGAACTTTTTTATACATACAATTGTATCTATATATTACATATATGCATTTATACATCCTCAATACTCCAGGGGTTACACTCATTTCATCCCTGGAATATGTCACTGCAAAACTGAAGGCACGCGGCTAGCTATTTAATTGGTCTCGGGTAAAAGAACCTGATCAATCGCTAAACTAATACCTGTCCTTTGGAAATTACATAAGAGCGACACCCAACTTCAAAGCCAGTTCATTTTACGGTTGCATAACCGACAGATTATTAATGTACATTAAAGGATCAAAGCAGATTTCCTGTCTGATCAACAAGCTAGTACACACTGAGCCTTCAATTTTGCTATATGACATATTTCAGAGGTGCAGAGAGCGAAAGTCAGCGAAAGTGAGCGTAACCCCTGGAGTATCGAGGATGGCATTTATATAGGTATGAAAAATATAATCAACAAGTGTGTGTATTATGGTGGAATATATATAGATGAGAAAAAATATTGGGGAACATTATAACAAAAGCAGGCTACTATAAAGTGTGTTCTCCTTATCAGGTATATAAGTGAAGGCAGTCAGAAATTTGCATTTCCTGTATTTTACTGAGTTGTCTCCCTTTCATACCCAACCCTTGGCCTTCAAATTGTTACCCTCTTCACTTAACAACTGTTTTGTTGTTTGTCAAACTTAGCAGTGGCTAATATAACACCAGTGTCAACAGAACTGGGACTGACTGATCCATGACCAAATTATTCATTTCAGCAGATTTAAATATCTCCTTGTAGTCGAAAATGGATTTTTGATAGGATTTTTATGTGGGATCAGTTATAGATGAAAATGGCTGTTGTAATACTGTTTCTGTGTTTTCTAGTCGAGTGCCTGCTAAGGTACGTTTTATAGCCGCTATGGTGGACATCCTACAGCTACAGCCCTGTCATCATTTCTTCACTATTTAGCCACTAGCTAAAGGTTTTAAATAAATATCATTAAGTCACTTTGTAGAACACTTTCCTTTGAGTCACTGTTATGTAAAATATCATTATATCTTTTGAGGGGTATTTAGTTTGTTCATTTCCTGGGCACCTTTATTCCTAAAATGCTGTTACAAGTAAAAGCAGATTAAGATATTGCTATGCCAGTTGAATATAAGGTATACATATATATATGTTAACAGTTCTTGTAATGTATAACTAGGGTTCAGATGTGTTTAGTATTAACTCATTCACCCCTGAAATTTCATAATGAATCATTCCATCCATTGATTTTGAAGAGTTCAAATGTGTCTGCAGGGGTGAATGAGTTTAAGAGACATTGATAGAGTTATTCTATAAATTCACACAAATTTCAACAAAATCGTGTTCCTATATGTTTTATAAGTGATTCTTCGAAAACCCTAAAATTTAGCGTTAAAAAAGGAATTGCTTCACAATATAGATACGTTACTAATAAATGAATTACTTAACCAATCCACCCCTGAAGTCACATTTGAACCTTACCAAATCAAAGACATGAGCAAGTCCAACTTAAATATGTAGGAGTGAATGAGTTAAGCAAGTTCGAGTTCTGTTAGATCAAGCTTAAGGTCATCAGCATACACTGAAATGAGGAACGAGCGGAGTCAAGGTTATGCACTAAAATATGCTAAAGGACATTGAGAATTTTAAGTTAATCAGGCCAATTACAAACAAGCCTTTTGGCTGTCACAGAGCTGTCGCTTTGCTGTTCGCTGCACATAAATTTTCCAGAATATCCCAGACGGTGTCAACTTGTAACCACCCCCTATAGTTAGTGCTCACACTAAATTGTTCTTGCTCATTAACTCAAACACAGTGTCCTTTATATGTCCGGACATTGGGGACCCAATCTGATGGTAATCAAAATGCCCTTGGATTATTTTTAACCAAGAGCTGTCAGATATAGAAGTTACCATGTACCAGTGTGCAGTGTCTTAAAACTACACCGTGACTGGTCAGGAATATATGGTCTGTGGTAGACAGATATCCTTCATCCTATACGATTATTTGTTTATACTTGTATGGAATTGAGCAGGTCTAATGTGTTGATCATGTAACTTTGGTTAGGAGTACTTGCTAAAGTCAATATAAGAAAAAATAAGTGATTTTCGTTGACTGATGTCCAGTCTAGGTCCCCGGTAAAAAATCCATTGCACCAATTTATTATTCTCCGCGGTACATGCTCAACTATAAGATGCCAATACAATTTGTACATAATCCTCTGTACCTGTACCACTATAATATGTTTGTCTGTGGTACATGACCGTCTGTACCGGTACCCATATAATGTACATGATCGTCTGTACCTGTACCAATATAATATGTCTGTCTGTGGTACATGGTCGTCTGTATTTGTACCAATATAATATGTTTGTCCGTGGTACATGATCTTCTGTACCTGTACCAATATAATATGTCTGTCTGTGGTACATGGTCGTCTGTATTTGTACCAATATAATATGTCTGTCTGTGGTACATAGTCGTCTGTACCTGTACCTATATATTATGTCTGTCTGTGGTACATGGTCGTCTGTACCAGTACCAATATAATATGTCTGTCTGTGGTACATGATTGTCTGTACCAATATAATATGTCTGTCTGTGGTACATGGTCGTCTGTACCAGTACCAATATAATATGTCTGTCTGTGGTACATAGTCGTCTGTACCTGTACCTATATATTATGTCTGTCTGTGGTACATGGTCGTCTGTACCGGTTCCAATATAATATGTCTGTCTGTTGTACATGATCGTCTGTACCAATATAATATGTCTGTCTGTGGTACATGATCATCTGTACCTGTACCAATATAATATGTCTGTCTGTGGTACATGATCGTCTGTACCTGTACCAATATAAAATGTCTAACTGTGGTACATGATCGTCTGTACCTGTACCAATATAATATGTCTGTCTGTGGTACATGGTCGTCTGTACCAGTTCCAATATAATATGTCTGTCTGGGGTACATGATCATCTGTACCTGTACCAATATAACATGTCTGTCTGTGGTACATGATCGTCTGTACCTGTACTAATATAATATGTCTGTCTGTGGTGCATGATCGTCTGTACCTGTACCAATATAATATGTCTGTCTGTGGTACATGATCATCTGTACCTGTACTAATATAATATGTCTGTCTGTGGTACATGATCGACTGTACCTGTACCAATATAATATGTCTGTCTGTGTTACATGATCGTCTGTACCTGTACCAATATAATATCTCTGTCTGTGGTACATGATCGTCTGTACCTGTACTAATATAATATGTCTGTCTGTGGTACATGATCGACTGTACCTGTACCAATATAATATGTCTGTCTGTGGTACATGGTTGTCTGTACCTGTACCACTATAATATGTCTGTCTGTGGTACATGGTCGTCTGTACCAATATAATATGTCTGTCTGTGGTACATGGTCGTCTGTAACAATAAAATATGTCTGTCTGTGGTACATGATCGTCTGTACCTGTACCACTATAATATGTCTGTCTGTGGTAAGTCGTGTAATGACTATAAAGCACTGAAAGCTTTGTTATAATACAATAAAGGCACAATGGTCAGCAGATAAAACACAAGTCACTTGTAAACAGCCAGCTAGCTAGCTAGGTCTTGTACAGAAACGCATACAGTATCAGAGCTCCATATATACTCATGATCATACACCATTGAAGCTAACCAATAAATCCTCGGTGACAGTTTATGTTAGAAACTTGCCCAAATCTATATAAATACCCCACAATGCGTTTGGAATTTTCCTGGACATTTCTTCACAATAAAAAACAACAACAATGATATCTAATTACCTAATAGTGTTAATTAAATGGATGTCCATATTATATATATACCAATATATGATGACACTCATTTTCCTATCTCCTCATTTAATTAGCATGTTGATAAGCACTTGTGACATCTTAATAATGTATCGGGACTAACTCACCTTAAGACTTGCCACCAACTGGCGGAGGTAGAAAAGGCTTAGGTCCTCAAGGATGATAGGGGAGGTAACTTCATCCTCCGAGCTAGCTTTGGAGGATCTAGAGGAATGTGCCAATGCCCCGATAGGCAGACATTTATCCATAGTTAGTTAAAAATCTTTCACAGCTCCGCTGGAGATCTTTTATTAGCTACTAATTTCCATGACTCAATGTAAACATCCAGTATTAAACCTATTACATCCGTAATTACGAAAAATAGTGTGTTGATAACGGAGCGTTTATCCACTAAACGCTACGTTTGTATATGTGTGCAGCCTCCAGTACAGTACTGTTATGTAACCATCCCAATGTCGACACAATGTTGTTGTCTTATCAGGAAATCTCCACAAAAAGATAGTTAGGAACTTCTCAATCAGGCCGACAGATACAAGTCAGGTACAAATCCCAGATCAATCTACCTCCGTATTGATTGCTAAAACAGAAAGTGTTCATCAATTTCTACTCATTCCCGCCTCATCAGACCTTAAGCCACGCCGTATTTCTGTAAACATACACACATTCTTTGGGAAACATTAGGTTTGTTCTCCAATGGAAGCAACTGCCTGTAGATCTACAATATTGGAAGGAGCCCAAACTATCAACACATCACAGTAAGTGTAAAGATCCCACTGTCCACATCAATTACCCCACAAAAGTGTGCTCCAATATAGACATCTAGCTTCCTCTCAGCAGATATATAGGCAATGACATCAAGCTTTCCCCGACAGATCAGCTAGAAACGTAAGCTTCGGTTAAATTCCTCAAAATGTCAGATAAAAAGTTAAATTGGTTCCTGCCTCGTCTATCTACACACCCTTTTTTAAATCTCTGATAACTTTTGAGATAGAAACCAGGAAATTTACTCCCAACAGTGAGCAACAAAAGGTTAACGGTGTAAATACCCTTCAGGATATATCTACACACAGGCCTACAGCTAAAATACGTTCTGAAATACCCAGATGAGCAATCTTCAATTAAAACTGAAGTCAATCACATTACCATTTATAATCTGTCAATCAAACATTATCAGCTCCTAATTATCCCACTTATTGGATCAACATGGACAAATTCATTGTGAAAGTATGTGGCAGTACTTATTTTATCTATACAATTCAGCTTCTGGTTCTATTTCTGGAATAATTATGACAATAATTTACAGAGTTTAAACAAAACCCCAAAAATTCTCTCCTAGTGGGCAAGTTACCAAACCAGAGTCTGGGGTGTCTAATAATGGTATGAGGTTTTTGTCTGGGGCATCAATATACCTATATATCTCTTACCTGTTAAATAAGAACATTCAAATCAGAACTTGACTTATAATTTCTATCATTCGGGCAAAATACCAAATGGCCTTTGGTTTGTTGAGGCTGGTGGTGATTGATTGAGCTGTGGTAGCAGCTACCTTATACTTGTACCAGTGATCATGAGCTATGGGGTACAAAACCGCTATACACCTGTTCAGGTGAGGCAAACTTAGGGATCTGGAGAGACAGACCCTTTTTCTTCTATCAACTGCTGACACCAGCCTGAACCTTAGCGGTCGGAAGTCTGACTAATATCAGTGTCAACAATATATATCCTGTTTTGCTATAAGATATCCAACCACAGGGAAAATGTTGGTTAAACTGGTGAATGACTGTGTTAAATAATACAGTTGACTACAGCAACACCTCGCCTCCCACTCACTCCTCAACGATGGTTTATCATAAGACAGTGTTTCTTAATAACAAAGGAAGTTATCAATTTTAAACAGTATACTACAGGCGTACATTTATATCTATATTGTCACCTATGACAAAGAGACGTGAAAATATTTACTGAAGGAAATATTTAAATGAGAACCAGTAACGGGTTGTTTCACCCCAAATTGGACCTTGCTGGCTTAATCAGACAAATAAAACAATACTGCTGATAACAGATTTCACTCCAGACCAACACACTACAGTTTTATGGTGCTAATTTACCACACACAGCCTGGATATAAAACTCGGATAAAACTAACACAAAACGGCACCGATAAGGTACTATGATAATGTGTACTCGGGATTACAAACTTTGACCCCAGTGACACACACCTAGTATCAATAACAATCAATTCAATGGCCAGATCAGTGTTATTGCAATAATCAATTTCCTATTTACAACAAGTGTCACAATACAACAGCCATTGATAAAACCCAGTGTAAATAAACAACTCCTACATTCTGGGCAGCGCTGAAACCTGACATAGACCCTTAATTTACCAAACCTCAACCGAACCCAAAACTACAAACACACTTTTGTATATTTTTTTTCAAATTTAGAATTTCTAGATAAAAAAAAAAAAAGATTATAAAACTGAAGTATGAGCTATTCCTTGGCACCACACCTGTATAGGGAACACCTGTATAGGGAACACCTGTTTCTATGAATGCCAAGGGTCTATAATCTCCTGCAGATTAAAAAAACTAATATCTACTTAACTCCACACACTGTTGAAAGACGTTGCTCTTACTTTTTAGACGGCCTAGTATTATTTGATGTATATGATACATACTCAGGTAAGACCAGGCATAACATCCCACACACTAATCCATCTTTGATGTGAGCAAAAACAGGTGACGATCTGCCACACGTAGGTAAAACAGGTATGTTATCAGACGGACAAGATCCGGTGAAGGTACAACAGGGGTCTCCTATGTCTGTGCCCTGCTATAATCTCTCCCATATGCTACTACTGTGACCACGATATCTGTGTGTTAATTGTTCCTAGATAACACTGTTTCCACTTTGAGCCTATTGTACAGCTATTTAACCTGCAGCTGTACTACTGTACCACCTAGGCATTTGTCTCAATTACTCAGGTGGAAACATGTTAGAATACATTGGGGTCAGTCAAATAGTCAGTGCCGGTGTAAGTGGTCCTTCCCTGTAGACAATAGACAAACTGTCCAGCCTCCGTAACAATCCAGGTGAAATATATTGGTCTCTCCCTATAGACAATAGACAATTGGTCCAGCCTCCGAAACAATCCAGGTGAAATAAATTGGTCTCTCCCTGTAGACAATGGACTAACGGTCCAGCCTCCGAAACAATCCGGGTATAATACAAACGTACAGCCTCCAAGTCAATCCAGGTGTAATATGGCGGTCCCTCCCTACAGAAATACTGTGGTGATCCGCAGCCTCCTGATCAATGCAACTGTTGTGTATATGTTCAATAAAACACTGTATCGCGTAGCTGAAGGCCAGAGAAAAAGTTTCATTGACACACAATAAACTTCTTGTGCGTGTGTGTGTCACTCAGCAATCTGCTACTCTCACTCTTTCATCTCCTCTATAAACCTGTTCACATCTGTCCCAGATAACAGATATCTAAACACATGTTTGAGCGAAAGTCTGGACATACTTCATATGTGTGTAAAAGAAATTCCTCTGAATGACAAGATTATTTCATCAATGCCATGATGTACCTCGACATCTAAACTGAGATCTCCTACACATACTAATGTCAACATTAGGAAAAAGACCTACCGGTAAGATAAAAGTTTCCCTTTTGATCCATACATAAAGGTTCACATTTGTCTTGGGTAAATAAACACTCTGTGGTATAGTCCAGGCGACTCTCTGACAATGTTGATGTCAATATGTTGTATTCACTTTTCAATAACTTCACTATCACTTCGGATCACATTCTGCCATCACCGTGTTTTATCGGCCGTCGATGACGCCTAGGTACACAGGATGTTAGGTAATGATGAGGGTGTTTAGAGGGCCCTCCACCACACTCGCCCTGTATATGTTCCACCCTTTTGTGTTGTTCCTGGCCCCTTTGTGTAGTAGTCCTGGCCCTCTTCTGGACTTTCTACACCCACACCACCTTGTACAGAATGTTTACCTGAACCTATGACCCGTAAAAAGTCCACAAAAGATAAGCTGTCCAGCTTTAAATCAGCAGTGTGGCACCCTCTGTAAGCCCATAAACCCATTCAGGTTTCGGTGTGTACTAGTAGCTCCTCGTCCTTATGTCTGTACGATATCTCTATACAAGCCGTGTTATTACACCTGGACGAAATTTACATCAAGTATACATACATATAACCTATAGCTTTCACTTATACACCTATAACACTCAATGTTATCCATACATCTTCCCCATATAGCTTCTTTATCCACAATGAACTGTATTCATTATGAATACTAGCTCTGTACGCACAAAGTTTCACTTGACAAATTAAACCTAAGTGTTTCAATTTTCACCACCTTCCAGGTAAACAATATTACCTGTATATCAAATTAACACCTGGTCAATGTTTCCAAATTTTTTCACCTTTTCTATTCAATATCACCTAAATTTGTAACAAGCCCTGGAGAAATGTCAAATTTCACCTGTGGGCTGAGAAGGAGCTGTCAAATTGAATGACTCGATGAATAGAGCCCATTATATATATACTAATTAGTATTAGGTGACATCACTGGAACCAGTCTCCAATATAACTGTAGACTGACAACAAAACATTGCTTATCAATATGCTTACAGGTATATCCTTTCAAAACCAATTAAATTAATTTGTATAAAGAATCTGATTTCCTTCCGATAAGATCTTAGGTGTTTCTCTGCTTAATCATTTCCTAATGATTTAAACTGTATCACTTATCTATATGTAATAAGATTATAGAGCTGAATTAGTTTATATATTCTACACAATTGTACAAATTATTGAATTGTGAATAAAGCTACATACAATGTGCTATTGCTAGTATTAAGTTGAAAAGGTACAGGTATATGTATATCCTTCCTTTATCTTTTCCACAATAGAAGAATGTCTTGATTAAAAAATACAATGAAGAAAAAATGGTCTTCAAAAGATAAAAACAAAAACAAACAAAAAACTATAATTATCTATAATTATTTATGAAGTAAATTAATACCTGCACACAGCCTACTGACAATAATTCACAGGTACAGGTTATAATGTCCTACTATACACGTACATGTACAGTCAGACGGACACATCATCACCCACCAAAAGCAAACACTATAACTATTAAACTGCGTTTATGAAATGCTACATGTATCTATAGCTACTGCTAGGGCAGTACATGTACCTGGGTACTCATAATTACAGATCAAGTTTGGTTTGGACTCTGGGTATAAAACAGAGTTTCTGGATATTCAGCAATGGGGTGTTCTCTATTTCTCCACTTTTTAGAGAACAAAGTCAGGTGCAACATGTTGATACAGGAAGACATCAATAAAGATTTTAAGTTCAACTTTCTGTTGATTCTTTGCATTTAGTAATTTTAGAAATCAAATAACTTTCCCTGAATTCTGAAGGGTCAAAACGCATCAAATAGAAAAGACTTTCGTCCTTTCAAGCCCAAGAGTCAAGTCTCATTTCAGAGGGTCAAAATAATCTCAAGGGTTCATGTAAAGCCCTGATCAATATTCAACACTAAACACACAATACCATCAATGATATCACACAAACACCATTAAGTTATTGTTATATCTAAAAGTGATTACCATATACCTGTATATGACCTGTCCATCATTTGTACCTGTAGTCTATAAGATGGACACCTGACACGAAGCCCCATCATCAGTCAATGACCCCTGGAGGTCTTTAGGTGTAAAGGTCATGATGATGACACCTTGCAACCTGATCTCCTACATCCTTCGTTATAATACAATCTCCTTTACTGTTAAAAGTATTGATCATATTGACATAGACTGAAAAAAGTAAGACAGGTAATGTGTATGATCAATCCCATCTCAGCAAGCTCCAACATTTCTGTGAATCCAAACAGATATATTTTCTAAAACCTTAGACACAACCTATAGCTGACAGTGAGGCTATACAGCAGTCCTCAACACTATGGTCTGTCACTCACAACCTATAGCTGAAAGTGAGGCTATACAGCAGTCCTCAACACTGTAGGGTGGGTCACTCACAACATATAGCTGACAGTGAGGCTATACAGCAGTCCTCAACACTGTATGGTCTTTCACTCACAACCTATAGCTGATAGTGAGGCTTTACAGCAGTCCTCAACACTGTATGGTCTGTCACTCACAATCTATAGCTGACAGTGAGGCTATACAGCAGTCCTCAACACTGTATGGTCTTTCACTCACAACCTATAGCTGATAGTGAGGCTTTACAGCAGTCCTCAACACTGTATGGTCTGTCACTCACAACCTATAGCTGACATTGAGGCTATACAGCAGTCCTCAACACTGTAGGGTCTGTAACTCACAACCAATAGCTGAAAGTGAGGCTATACAGCAGTCCTCAACACTGTATGGTCTGTCACTCAGAACCTATAGCTGAAAGTGAGGCTATACAACAGTCCTCAACACTGTAGGCTGGGTCACTCACAACCTATAGCTGATAGGGGGGCTATACAACAGTCCTCAACACTGTAGGCTGGGTCACTCACAACCTATAGCTGATAGGGGGGCTATACAACAGTCCTCAACACTGTAGGCTGGGTCACTCACAACCTATAGCTGATAGGGGGGCTATACAACAGTCCTCAACACTGTAGGGTGGGTCACTCACAACCTATAGCTGGTAGGGAGGCTATACAACAGTCCTCAACACTGTAGGGTGGGTCACTCACAACCTATAGCTGATAGGGGGGCTATACAACAGTCCTCAACACTGTAGGCTGGGTCACTCACAACCTATAGCTGATAGGGGGGCTATACAACAGTCCTCAACACTGTAGGGTGGGTCACTCACAACATATAGCTGACAGTGAGGCTATACAGCAGCCCTCAACACTGTATGGTCTGTCACTCACAACCTATAGCTGACACTGAGGCTATACAGCAGTCCTCAACACTGTACGGTCTGTCACTCAGAACCTATAGCTGAAAGTGAGCCTATACAGCAGTCCTCAACACTGTATGGTCTGTCACTCACAACCTATAGCTGATAGTGAGGCTATACAACAGTCCTCAACACTATGGTCTGTCACTCGCAACCTATAGCTGATAGTGAGGCTTTACAGCAGTCCTCAACACTGTACACTTTGAGTGTTGGTTACAAAATCTTGCACACATCTCAAATATACAAATATATCAATAACAGTATTGTATAACATAAGATACCATGGTACAGAAAAAAGCAGACCCTCTGAACATATTGGACATTTACATTTGTATATTAAGAATGTTAATCCCTTCCGTTTCTTAATTTTAACATAAAAATTCAGAAATTCCGTTGTCTATATATGTTATACACTTGTATAACACTACTACCATTCTATTCATGAACCAAACTTTTAGGAGTCAAATTTTCACTGTTTCAAGCATAATGAAGGACCATTTGTTATGAAAACTTAAAAAAAAACCACACTAATAAATCAAAGTGAACAGTCACGCGGTCATTTTAACAGATGAAATCACCATTCAAACTGCAGTGTGTGAATAAACATGCTATTATCATTACTGTAAATCTGGAAGTTTGACTATAATTTACCATGTCAAATAAACCAGAGCTAAAATATTAACCTTTAGGGTTAAAAGTTCAGAAAGGTTACATTTTGTAAATGTGAAGTTTTCAAAAACGGATGGGTGGATAATGACAAATCAACAGGAATCACTAAATGACCGTGTCACTTTGATGAATAACAGCTGCCACATAAATAACCATAAAACAGGGTGGCCATGTTCTTGTCACCTTGTACAATACCTGCTGTCAAATAAAGAACCGTAAAACAGGGTGGCCATGTTCTTGTCACCTTGTACAATTTAATACCTGTCAGGTACTGATTATAGCTAACTATTCATGAAATACGAGTCATATGACCTTGAGACCAGGTGATCAGTTAAAACATCCATCATCTACAAATGTGTTTTTATACGCTTAATTATAAAATAAAAATATGCAAAAAAGCTGTCAGTCACCCCAACCCCACTGTTCATACAAGTACTGCATTGACATGGGTCTATAAATGTAAAGGCAAACCCCACTTTGAATTGATGCATATATATTTTACCAAGCACACAATGAACTAGGTAGTCATGTACATAGAATTTCTCTAACCCCAACCCAGGACCTTCACACCTTACTCTTTAACCCTTTCATCCCAATGTAACTTTAGTAGACTCTACCATGTATTGATATGGACAAGTCCATTATGGCCTACAGTGGCGAAAAGGTTACTTAAAGCCTACCTTACTTTGAACCAAGACAGATTATACATATATGTACCAACTACAAGTAGCTCTATTGATGTGCAACAGGAGAAAACAAATGCATGACCAGACGGGATTCGAACCTGGGACCCACTGAACTCTATAGACGGACTCGATACCTACATGTATTGAGCTACCTGTGGCGAATGGCCCAGTCCAGTTCCAATCCATTTCTTCTTCCTGTTTCTTAGTCTTTGTCCTTGAAGACAACACTATTTACAACCCATGTTTAATAGGTACCCCCCTTGTCAATGCAAGCACTCATCAAGTACTTGAAACAAAGGTTGGTCACAGGTACCAGTATAACAGGAGAGAGAAATGCACAACCCGACAAAGATTTGAACCAAGAACTGTCAGAACTCCCCGAAATACCCGGTCCCGCTACAAATGTATCCTCCCCTTGTACTATCACCTACACTAATCACTTTTTGAAGCAAGCTTCTCTCTAAGTCCGTACATATGACACAGGAATACCATATTCACTAATAATTATAAGAAGTTGTGTAAAGTAGTATGTATATGCACCCCTTTCAACCCCTCCACTTCACGATTTATACATTTGTAATTACTTTTTACAAATTGTAGCTTTAATTGATGTGTATATATGCATGTCAACAGCAAATAGCCCCAATTTTGGTTATTAAATGGTGATAACCGTGACAAACACGTTCAATCAATAAATAATTACTATGAAAGTAGACACCAAAACTTCAAGAAGATAATCTTTTCTGCAGGCTCCGACACTTAAAAAAAGAGCCAGTTAGCCTTTGCTGCTGATTCAGTGAACTTCCCTATTGACATCTCTCTGCCACAGCCATTTCAGCTATAAAATCAATGAGGCCAACATAAAAGAGGGATTTGTA